CGGTAGCGGCGCGGGTGGCGGTGGCGGCGGCGGCAGCAGCAGGAAGAGGCCGCTGCTCACCCCGCTCTGCAACGGTCTCATCAACTCCTACGAGGACAAGAGCAACGACTTCGTCTGGTGAGCGCGATATATCGCGATAGCGGCCACCCGCTACCCGCTGAGGGAAGCCCGGGGCGCCGCCATGCCGGCCCCCGGGCGGGGGGAGGGTGTAAAATACCGGTGGGAGGACGTAGCAGCCGGTAGCGGCACCTCAGGGGTTGTCTGAGGGGAAAGAGGCGGTTGTACGGTCTAACGGCCCCCGAGGGGTTCTGGCATGGGGGTTCCCTCCTCCCCTTTGTGGTTGTTACGTTTGCTTCTTGGTCCCGTGTGGCGGCCTTGCTTTCACCCTCTGTCTCTAAGCAAAATCAGGTTATTCCCAGCAGGTTCCTCCTTGGCAAGGCTCCAGAGCGGCCCAACTTACCAGAAGGGACCCGCAACGAGAGGTGTTTCCTCATAACGTTGTTGACATCGCAAGCAAACTTCCTGTTTTCCTGGGTGGTGTAGCCTCTGCAGGGGCCAGGGGGGCTCTGGCCTCTGGTGGGTGAGATGATGGACCCCTCGGAGCCCTCACGCTGCCCCGCTCTCACCCCTGGAAGAGGAGCCAGTGGAGGATGTGCTCCTGCAGATGAGGGTCCAAGGAGTCTCGTGGTGGCTGACAAATCCGGCAAAGCTGGTGTGGGTCTGCCTTGGTCGCTGGGAAAGGTTGGCTAGTTTGCAGCAGCAGTAAGGTTTGTGTCAGTCTGGCACCTAAAACCAGATGAGTGGGGAATTGTGGCGCTGATGGGATAAAGATTTTTCTTGAAGCCATTCACATGCTGTCCTTCTAATGTTCGGCCAAAGCTGCAGCTTGTAGCTGGAAATACACTTTCGGCAGCAGTGGTAGACCAAGGCCTACTGCTGTGTGTGGTTTGAGAACTGTTGGTAATTTGCAGTTTTAAAGAGAGCCCATTGCTAGTGGGTTTCAAACCTCCTAACATAAGGAGTAGCTTTAATTTTTTATGGCTGGTTGGATGTACTAAAATGTGAGAACACAAAGTAGGAGTAAGTGTTCACATCCGAGAGAAACAGTGAAGAGATAATGGAAAGAACCTTAAGTTGTAGGAAAGTCATGTATTGGAAAGAAACAGAAAAAGAGAAGAAAATAAATGGGCCACAGCTTCGAAGATGACTTTGTCTGACAGCTCTGACTTGCAGATGAGGCTTGGATGTTTGACATCTCCACAGGACATTGTCTCAAAAACCTGTAGGCTTGATTTTACAGCTTTGTAAACTGGGTAGCAAAGTAGATAGGAACCAGCCTTGCTATTGAAGTGAGAACCTGAGGCTGCTACAAAGTCAGTGGCAAACAAGACAGTAACTACTTCTTACTAGTAATAAGCGGTAATTTTTTATTATTACTTATTACTCTAAGTAGTTGTTTGCTCAGTAGCAGAACTGGGATGAGAGCACAGCTGCTATCAGCTGATGTCCTGCTCTCACTGAAGGCTCTAGGCCACATTAGGTGGATTTAAGGACACTTGGTGTGGGAGATGGGGCCTTGCTGTTTGTTATGGGGGATAACTTGATTGTAAATTCCTGTTCTCTCAGTGGTTATACTTTAGCAGTAGTCTGCAACTAGTGCTCCCTGTCCCTCTCCAGTCAGCTGTCATTTCCCGTTTTGTTGTCTGTCGTAGAAATGAAGGGTGTGTGAGGGGAAATGACTTCCATAACAAGTGTGTAGGCCAGCTGAAGTATTTTTAAGACGGTTCAAAAACCTGAGTTTCTTGGTTCTTTTTTTGTCCTGCAGGTAAGTACTGTGCATACTTCAAGGAGAACAGGTAATTAGCTGTTTTCTTCTCACTGAGGAGTGCTGCTGGCTGCTTAAAGTGAGAGTGATATTTACAAGAGCCACAGTGGGCATATTGAAGAGCAGAGATTATAGTTGACTTACCTGGGTTCTTAACTGCAGTGTATTTCTGTGGGCTGTAGGGCTTGTTCTTGCTTATATTAACTAGCTTCAAATTATAGTATTTCTCTCTTTTTAAGTTAGTCTACTGGGCGACCCTGGAATTCTGAACAATGGCCAAGAAGGCACATGTGTGTGTGTGTGGAGGGGGGAGTGTTTAAATAATTGATTTAAAGAAGTTTTGGATATCTCAGTCTGAGAAGCAGTTTTCCGTATGCTGGGTTGTTTTATTTTTCTATAAGGAAAGTTTCAAGATGCTGCAGGGAACACTTGATAATTTTTCTGAGCATGGGCTGTGATTTGCTAGCAGTTAGCTACATCTGTAAACTCAGTGGTAGATTCTGCTGGTTGATTCTTCAGATTGAAGATGAGAAATAATAAAGAAGTTTGGGTGAGTGAATCAAGCATCAAGGTGCACGCGTAAATCCCATGAACAGTGCTAATGCGTGTAGTGTCGCTGCCTGTCTTCTGAAAGTGCAATCTCAGCAATGTGAGGCCTAGACTTTAAGGTAAATGTTGGCATAAGTTGCTAGTCCGGGTTGTGAAATGTTTAGCAAATGTACTCTCAGGAGTTTGCAAGTGTGCACTGTCTGTGGTATGCATGAGCTTTTGCCTGGAAATGTGTAACTCTAGTCAGAAAAGCAAATGGACCTGACTTACTGGACAACTTTATTACAAAAGGGGAAACTTTTGTTTGGTGTTTTTTTTTATGCAGGATGTAGAATTTCAAGTTAGAGTTTGTGCTGTTTCTGCAGCCAGGCCTCTTCCCTGTTGCTTGGAGAGTACCTGAAAGGGAATCCTCTAATCAGAGGATTTTCTTCTGTCCAGTAGTGTAATTGCTTATGGTTTTCCCAGGCCTTATATAAACCCTCCCAATTAGTGGTTGAATAAACTTTAAAACCAGTTACTATCCGCTTTGCTCCCTGGATGGAGGGGATCTTAGCTGTAGGCTGTCTCTTCAGTGGCTGCTTCATACCAGTGTTTCTGAGCTCTGACATAAATATGAACATATGGAAGAGGGGATGTTACATGCTAACTCGGAGAGCTACACCCAACAAACTCAGCTGTGGGAAGGGCTGTGTGCCACATTTAAAGGTGCACTTGCAGGTCCGTGAGTTTTTAACAACAGTCCTTTCCTCACGTGGTTACCTGTTAATGCCAGGCACAAGCTGAGAGTAGTTGTTCATGTTTGTGATCTGGCAAACCCCTCTAGTGAGGAATACTGCAAATTGACCCTGGGGCTCACAAACTAAACACAGTGAGTTGTTTACGTACCACGTACATTGATGGCTTTATAATATATTGTTATATTGGAGCTTCATATTGACTAGATAGTCATGGCAGCGATCTTTAACCTGGCCGCCTTCCCTGTGAAGAACAGAGCCTGCAGCAAGTTCTACTTTCTGCTTAGACCAAAGAGGAGTAGAATAGGAGGGAGAAGCAATAATGGGTCTTTTTTTCTGCAGAGCAGAAGGAATTTTGAAACTGACCATTTCAGCCAGGAGTTTGGGTGGCAGCAGTGTGACAGTAGCACTCTTGACAGATACTTTGAAAACAACTGGCAAAACTTAGAGGCATAAACTTTCTTAAAATGATTTAAATATTTGAGGTCTACACTGTAGAGAAAGAGTGGTAAACCTTTGAAGTGCTGGATAAAAAACTGTTTAGTAAATAAGGCATCAGTATCTGGTAATGAACAGGGACATTTTTAGCTTGCTGAAGTAATTTGCATCCTTCTTACCTGGCTATGCTGCCTATGACAAATAGAGAATAAGAGCTATCTCATGCAGAGAAGTCTTGATTTTTTTACTGTACCAGTGCTTCTCAACTTCAAGAGCTATCTCATGCAGAGAAGTCTTGATTTCTTACTGTACCAGCACTCCTCAGCTTTGGTGTACACTACAAGCTGTATTATGTCTTAATTCTCCATCACTCCACTACTTTCTTAACCTTCCCTCTGTGTTAGATTAACTTAAAACAACTGGTGCATAGCAACTTTCATGTGTTACAGCCAGCTTGGCTTCAGTAAGTATTAAAAGACATCAATCTTGTTTCCACTTGTAAATCAGTGAGCATTTTGGGGGAAACAGTTCTTAATGGAAACTTCAGGCTCTGTTAACAATGACCCTGGCACTGAACAGCTATGTTTGCTGGATCTGATTGCTTTTTCTGAACTATTTCGGCTCTGTGGCTTCTCTAGTCAAATAGGAAGAAGAAGGGTAAGTTTGGGAACAGTGGTCTTGGGTGACTTTTGTGTTAGGAGGTAATCTTCCTCTTCTTAGCTCTAGTTTGTGATGTCTTATTGCAGACAGAAGCATTAAACCCTTGTTGATGCTGCACTTCTTGGAGGCAGGGTATTAGGAGTGTGGTGGAAAAAAATCACATCTGGCCATGTGGGGAATAACTGTTTTTAGCATGATATACAGAGTGGGACTGTTATACTGCGTGACTAGGAGAAGGTGAAGAAGCAAAGCTGTTCATCGGTGAGGAGAAACCAGCCTCAGACACTCATATAACCATAAGTCTTTGACTTTCCTTTTTTTAAAGGCCAGCTAATAGAATGCAAAGATGCATAATTCTCAATTTTATTAATCCACTCTTTGGCTTATAATTTGTTCTGACTAAACAGTGCCTTGAAACTAAATAATTTCTAACTTGGAAATAGTGATTTGAGCACCAACATCAGGAGTTCAAGACAAATGATGAGAAGAGAAGGGTCTGTCGAGGTAGAAGAGGGACAGCTGCATTTAAAGTATTTTTGAGGCTTCTTTTGATGAACAGAATTGGTGGATCAGTTTGTTCAGAAAGTAGCATTCTGGTTTTTATTTATTTGCCTTTATGTTGTGTTTATACAGAGGATTTGGTGGAATATTTAAGACAACCTGATTTGTATGTAAGGTTGGACAAACCTTTCAGGGTATCTCTGTTTTCCAGTTTGGTCATTTGGAGCTTCCCCTCAATGGGCTAAAAAATAAGTATTTATTTAAGACCTGTTTCCTCCTTCCTATTTTTATATGCCCAATGGGGTAACCAATGCTAGTATCCTCTAAAATGAATGACAGAAAGGGGGAATGACTTCTGTGGAGCACTAAAAAGGGGAAGGATTGAGGTGCTCCCCTCCCCTGCTCAGCCA